ATGTCTTGTATAAAAGCTAGGCAACTACGCAGTCATTCATCAGTGTGACTAAGAGGGCCATAACTTCACCAGTCTCTACTCATAGAATGTTCAGTCATTTCACCAACCTTTAGTCAAACATTCATGTTTTAGTGTGCCTTTGAGGGCCATAAATATAGTCTGAAGACAATGAATGATCTTACACAATCAGGTTGAGTCACTTCATCACATGACATACAAAAAATGTCTCTATTTATTTAACGTGGGAAAACGCCACATTGTATACTTTTCATTTTGAACCATAAATTATAGTCCATACTCGGAGTTTAAAAGTATGGGTCACCATTGGTTTTTAGAGGATGAGTTCTTCTATCCACTAAATCCTCATTTACATTACTTAGGGAGGGACATAAATACAATGATGGAGGAATGACAATATCGTTTGGGGTAAAAAAAATTCTAAGTGAAGATTTGCACACTTGCAACGTACGTAGGTCTCACCAAATTATCATTAATTTGCCAATTGACACTCCTTAAAAATTGGAATGAGCATTGTTACGTTTTCATGTAGAAAACAATTGTATGGCAATACGTTAAAATTGGTATAGCCTCCGTCGCATCACACGCAACCATGTTGAAGAAGGTTTGATAGAAAAAGCATAATTATTGTAAGATCTCATACTATAATTAAATAAGGATAATATCATCTTAATATTTCTCCTAAGATGAAAAAAATTATGGTAGAAAATTTGAATCATTGTTGAAAAATTGATCATAAAGTTTGAATTTCGGATGTATTGACTTTCATGTCAAATGTAGTTTCAGAGGTGTTTAAGCTTGATAAGGGTGGTTAGGTAAGTTTCTAAATGATTTGAGAACAAAATAAGGCTAACATTGAATCTAAAAGGTCAAAAAACCTTGGGAGAGGTGATATGTTGTGTATTCGAAGTTTGGAAATATACCGGAGTTAAAACACATTTTAGAGAGAATTGGGGTAGGAAGGAATTTGATACTACCTTAGGAATTTCATGAAGATTTCGTGAAACGACTTCTAACTAGGCCACAATTGCCTTGAAAGTCAAGGTAGAAAGTGGAATCCAATCGAAAGGGACAGGCTCCATTCGAATGCCCTATCTAATGGATTTTTAGCAAAGTTTGTTCGGATGCAAAGGTGATTGTTCAAACGTCATGTCTGATCGATTTTCACTAGATAGAATAGGAGATACTAGGAGCAAAATCCATTCAGACGCAAAGGTCACAGTTTGAACGTGCATGCATCATCCTACATGATTAGGCCATACCGCCTAAACTATTTTTGTGTCAGCTTTAGCAATTTTTAACCCTAGGAAGCTAAGATAAGTTGGGAAAGAAGAAAAATGGCAAAATCTTGAAGGATTAACGCATAGGAATCACATCAAAACACTTTAAGACTGATTAAACTACAGAATAAGGTAGGAGTTTTTTCTCAAATCTAATCATTGAGGATTATGGTTATTATATGTATCTTTTTTATTCTTATTACAATATATATACTAGATCGACATTGTTTTTACATTCTTTTTTATTACATGATTCATTTCTTGGAAAAAAAATATATGATTTATACCCAAAATTACATGTTCTTCACGAAAAACCCTAGATCTTGATTATGTCCAACTTGAATACGTGTTTCTACGATCTCTTGCTTGTTCTAAATGAATTACTCTTCAGTTTTGAGAATTTGATGATACCGAGTTACATGTGAACTTATATCGCACATTTATTAGATAAGTTTCTTATCTTGAGGAATTCGAAGGTTTCCTATAACTTATAGTGGAGTTGATTCCTTGCTAGGTTCCAAACCACTATTTGTTCACAGGTGATATACCATAATCTTAGGAATGATTCGTCAATGCTGATGCATCAGTATATGCCCTTCTTGAACTTTGTTGCCTTGTGGGGTAATATTATTGAGAAGATGGAGTTTTGTAGGTTAGATATATTCGTTATGTGGATTCTTACTAATTCAACCCACATACATGAGATATTATTGTTATTCATTGTTATTTTTTGAATGATTCCCCACTAGTTATGACTTTACTGTTTAATCATCGTAAATGTTGTTCCGAGAGGGAGAACTCGATATGGATCTTCCCTCACAATTATACATGTGTGGACCTATAGACACTTTACCTAGAGAGTGGTGAATATGTATTTCAATTTTAGCCCAATTAATTTACCAATTAAAAACCTAAATGATCACAGTTATCTCTTCCCACAAAGTTATAGCAAATAATGCGAGAAATCCTTGAATCACCATAACTCATTTTAACCATGATAATTGATGTTAATTAATCTTCAATTAATTCACTTAACAATCATTCTCACGACGATCCCAAATTCCAAACCCAAATTGCATAACTATGGCTAGATAGATAGTCAATCAATTATTCCAACAAACACATAGTATGCTTGTGTGCTAACAATCACTAGTGTATATGAAATAACTAAGATTAATACAAAGTGATTTGTTGACGCGAAAAATCCTCCTGAAAAAAAATCACGGGAAACCACTTGGGGTTAACCAAAACTTAATCTACTACTCACAAAGTCAACATACAAGTACTCGAATCTTATACCTCAACCAATACCATGACTAGATGCTCATTTCCTTGTTGTCTCTCTGCCAAAGGCATTCCTTTGATGTCTTGAGTAGCTTCACTTGGACTTCCCACTATATGGTTCGTCTAGGCCTCGAGCAATTATGGGCATGCCAAAGATTTCCGGTATACACACACCAATGGGTTTGGTTCTAAACCATCAAGATCTTCAATACCAACTTGTGAGGTTTGGTAGAATCTCTAGTGGTAATCTTTAGGTTTAGGGATCTAGGTTAGTAGTGGAAGTTCTCAAGGTAGAAGATGTGTTTTCTCTCTTAGAAATCTCACAAGAGGATTAACCTAGATATGGGAAAGAATCTCACTATTTATGAATATGGAATAAGGGTAGTCTTAGCAAATAAAAAAATTCAGATTCACGGACGGCCGCTCGATCGATAAAAGGGCAGTTGGCACTAGAATGAAAATCACTTCTTAAACTTGTCTAGGAGCATACACCTCTCAAGCGACCATGAAGGCTCGCTTGAGCGAACTTTGTGCACTCCTCCGTGACTTTTTTTCATTTTATTTTTTAAGTTATAAAGAGACTGCTCTAGCAAAGACTAATTAACATAAATTGGTCCCTACCAGTTTTTAAAACATCAAATCAAACAAAAAAAAATGTCCTCTTGAGCACTAAAGGATGTTGCTCAATAAGAGTCCGATAATGGCTCAATCTATGTTTTCAAAACACAAAATAGTTTAGAAAATTTTTACTTTTTAAAACACCTAGAAGCTATATTCAGATTGCTTCCAATTCTATTTTCATCCTAATCATCTTACGTAAATATTTCTGATAAATGAAGTTTGTGTATTCAACTAATAGGAATATGAATTGATAAATCACTATTATAGGTTTAGCATAATGTATCTATATAAAAGAAGCATTTACAGAGTTAGAGAGAAATTTGAAAGAGAACATAATAAAATCCTAAAAGAGGACGACATAAAAAATTAAATCTTACATTTGGCAATAATTGACTGTTTGACCTCTTAGCTGGGATAGTCTTAAGATATCAAAGGGTTGTCAATTAGACTAGATCAAATTAGTTCAATCATTTATAGTCTTTAAACTTCGAAAGAATATATTTTTGTGATAAATATGTGGGGGTATGTGGTCAACATATTTTACCATATTTACATTGAAACTATAAAATAGGACTCATAAATTACAAAAAACAATATTTGAGGCAATTTCTCATAATATTTTAGTTCCAAACAAATTAACCTATATGCCAATATAATAAATATAAAATCAAAACTATTGTTAAAAATAATTCACCTACAACGTACGTATACAATATCTAGTATATATTAATGACTATTTGCTATATTACAGTCTGGGGTGTTGAATCCATTGAATCTTTTACAGTCCTGGGTTTCCAAGACCTGCCCCGTTTGTATTTAGCTTTGTCCAACCAGCTAGAGGGAGCTGCCAACCAAATAATTTTTCGCACTTGAAGGGTCTGGCATTGGTTTTGCTTATGCTGAGGAATTTCAAAAGCCCGATTCAAAGAGTTTCGAATAATTTGTTTTGGGCTACACTTTTCATTTTGAATAGGAATTAATTTCTATAGTACCATAGGATGGAGCAAGTTACTGGCAAAAGGATGTTGCAATGAAGTTTTGTGTATGGGAATGGTGAATTGGAGATGCAGTTTTCTGAGTCGTGGAGTGTAACCCATTTCATTCCAAACTTGTTTGGCTTGGTCACATTCTCTCAAAAAGTGGTTGGTGTTCACCTGTGGGTGTCCACAATGGGGCCAGGTCTTAGATTCTATGACTCTCCTATCGAAGAGCTTTTCTCTATTGGGCATTCTATTTCTACCAGTGAGCCATATGAAGAGGACGTAGTAATAGAACAATGGCAATACTTTTTAAGAATGTCAGCAGTAATTTGCCCTCAAGTAAATTTTGAGGTAGAGTGGATAAAAATAAAAATATCACCTATTAAAACATTTAACAAACACTAAAGCACAGTGGGAGATTGGAGAATTATGAGGTCTTCCACATTGCCATAGTCCGCTGCAGCAGCTGAACTTTCCAACAACAAAAAATAAAAAAATTGCTACAGCATAACCATTCACAAAGCATATACATATGCTGAACATTAAATTTTCAATTTACAACTCAAATCAATTATTACAATCCAATCAATGGGCAATACTAGTAGAGGAACAAGTACCCAAAACAGGCAACAATCACAATGTAGATTTATTTATCACGAGTTGCAATTAGATAAGCACTTCTAGTCTACACGTCTGTACATTTCAACTTAATGATCAGTTTCTCTGCTTTAAATGACATCGATACAGAATACAATATTAAGCACCGCTCTGCATTTGCCAGTAAAGAACTAATCAACAGTGAAAAATATTGACGAATATGTACAACTTAATGATCAGTTTCTCTGCTTTAAATGGCAGCAATACAGAAAACAATATTAAGCACAGCTCTACATATGCCAGTAAAGAACTACTCAACAGTGAAAAATATTGACGAATTGTTTCTTCTTTTTACAAATCTAGGGTGCAGGAAATGCTTAGCCAGCCACAATAACTTGAGGTGAATTAGACATATATACTGTATCAGTCAAGCCCCGTCCCTTAGTCTCGAGTGGGAAGAAAAGAACCGAAATTCCTGAAAGGATTATAACAATCTCAAAGAGAAGAATTGCAGCTGTTTGATGGCAACCAGTAACCAATTCAACAACTACTAGAGGACATATCATGCCCCCAATTCTTCCCACAGCGCTTGCAACACCAACGCCAGTTGCTCTCACTGAGGTTGGGTATATCTACAGTGCAAAATTATAAATGGTACAAAAATGAATTGACCGGAACTAAATAAGAATTTTACATCATAATGTGCATGAAGGATAACATCCAGCAACTTCAAGTGAAACTAAAAGGGCATATTTATGTACTAATGATATCACCACACGAATGACATCCTTATTAAGGTTGAATTTTCAAGTGCATGTTCCCGCTAATATGTTATAAGAACCATCAAAAGCTTCCCCCAAACGCCAAGGCCTCACCTACCAACTGGTAAGTCTAAAGTTTGAAGTTTGCCTTTGGCGTGATCAAGTGTATATGGTGGTAGATACCAGATTTAAGACATGAATTCTACGAGTCACTTAGTGCTTCCCACACCCATTCCCCTCCAGAGTAAGCTGGACACATTGATGTATAAAAAAATAAATAAAAGATGATAAAAGTCCATCTCAAATCAAAATGAAGTCCAATACCATCTGTTAAACTAAAAATGGCACAAAAGGCTGAGTTACCAAAAATGGGGCCCAAAATGTAATAAGCTGTCACATTCCCCTCAAATGTGGACAAATAGATAACTGATAACTGATACAGTGGGTGCACCAAGTTCGTTAAGACTGCAAACACCATTAACAGAACGTGAGAGGGCCACATACAAAGAGATACATTAAATTTAAGAGTCTCCAAATACCAAAACTCATCAAAGAAAGGTGTCCAAGATATGAATGTAAAGAACTCATAAAGACCTGAAAAGTATGAACTATTGTAAACAGTGAAATAGATACTTGGTCATGCCAAATAGTTTGAAGAAAAGACCATAATAAACTCGAATGCTATTCTGGGAGGAAGGACCTGAGGCTTTGGAACAGAAAACTATTCCGTTACAAAATTCCTTGCCTTTATGGATATAGACCATCAATACAGAAGGACGATCAACAGCCTTGGTTGGTGATTTTTCACGACTAAGTGAAACTCACAGTTGAAGGTCCAGAACAGGGAAAAGAAAGTATTTCTTAGATTAAAAAAAATTCCTCCAAGTGTAAAAGGCGCACATTGCGATGTTTGCTTTGCCCCAATTTTGGAGAGGTTAATTCTCGGATTCAAACCCATGATGTATTGTGTCTGCCGATAAGAACTTGTCATTGCTCTAAAGTTCGCTTGGAAAGGTTTAGATATAAAATATATTAAAAACAGAAGCCAAATTTAGCTTTCATAAGCCCTTGAGATTGCAACATATGATCGCATACTACATGCCCAGTAGCTAGTAGAAAAATCAGAATAGGATGCAAAAACTAAACTAAGAATGAATTAAAAACCTTTTTAAGATTAGAAACGATTTGAGATTTACCTCTGGACAATAAATACCAGCAATGGTGAAGGTTCCAATTATGCACATACGAGCTCCAAATAATAAGAGTGTTGTTAAAATCTCATGCTGATGTATAACCAAGGGAAGAAGGAATATGCAGCCTAACACGAACATAAGTGCCATGGAAAGTTTGCGTCCAATTCTGTCCACCAAAATTGCTGACAACACAAGCCCAGGAAGCTCTGGAGAGGAGGGCAAACATAGGCTATTGAATACTATTAATAACCTCTTTTGACTAAAACATGAGATCATGTTATGGAACAAATTTCAAATGGACCATGATTCATATCTAAAAATATGTACCAGCAAAACTCGTAACAAATACATCTCTGTAGAGGCTAGCATCCACCGAATTTTCTGAATGTAAAGCAATTGAGCCACAACTACCCTGACTGCTGCTTAGCTCCGAGGTCAGCAATATAATGCCATAATATGAAAATGCATTTCCAAAGTAAACCACCCAAAGAAGAAGGGTAGTATTCATTAACTTTGATGAGAAAAGTGTAAGTGATGAGAAGAATGATTTAGAAACTGTGGTCTGGTTCTTTTTTGACGACAGTAATTGGGTGTTTTCCAAAGGAGCAAACTCTTCGTCTGGCTTGGTCATTTGATCACAAACAAGCACCCCTGAAGGAAGTTTTGTTTGGTTGACCATCGCTATTTTCTTGAAAACATTTTCTGCATCAGACGTTCTACCTTTCAAACATAGATACCTTGGAGACTCAGGCGCAAAACCATAAAACAGAAGCACTGTGAAAGATGGTACAGAAGATACTGCAAGTAACCACCTCCATCCCAATCTAGGCATGATGATCTACAAAATATTAACCAACAAAATTAGCATATTAATTATAATAATAATAATAATAATAATAATAATACTGATAAGGATAATCATAATTTCTTATGTTATGTTAGTTCTAGATTAAGGGTATTTTAGTATTCTATATATATATATATATATATATATATATATATATATATATATATATATATATATATGTTAGGTGTAGTTGTGTAACCTAATAGCTACTTTCTTTTCCTAATTCTCTATTTCCCTCATCTTTTCCAAACCCTAATGATGTAATAATGTAACTTGTTATCAAAGCTCTGATCAATAACTCTCAAAGTCATCAGAAATTATTAGTCGCAACCAGTAGTGCTGACGTCACTTTCTGACATGTAGATGTCAACATTTGACATATTGATCTCAGTATCAAAGCCGTCATAAATTTTCGAAATCTACATCAATCAACTCGTTTTTGCCTCTTGAGAATTATGGTTATTTTGTGGAATTTTTTTGAAGTCATCTGATTGTCCTTTTAACCTTTCAAAGGTTTTTTTAAATTTTTCATTTCGAAGCTACGATTTGCTCAAACGATACAATCTGTTGCCTAGCACTTGGTCCATCCCACTCGAAAAGACTTGATTAGGGCCATTATTGAATGCCTATAGTGTTTTGTTGCACTTTGGTTGCATTTGTGAAGGTGTTTTTGCTCCTAGGGACCGTCAGCACCTCTGGTTTCTTATGTCAAGCGACTGGGGTCTTTGACACGGGGTCTACAAAACCATTGCTAGAAGTGCTCTCTTGGTGAGAAGCTTGACTACTATCAAAGTAATAGCATAGCTATTGGATGGTTGGATCAACGTGACCAGATTTGGAAGCCTAAGAGAAAGGCTAAGAGTTTTTAGTTTAAAAGAAAATGCGCCCGGTAGATTTTTTAGGATTTTTATTTACTTTTGTTGATAATATTACTATAATATAATTAGGGTTTATACTTACTGTAATATGTATGCCACACAAAAGGTATACTTGTCTTTTGCATTCTTGTTCAATGACTATAAATACAAGATTGATAGTGAGAGGTAGGGTATGTTGAAACCTCTCTTTACCTCTCTTTTATTGTGTTAAGTGTGCCTCTCCTCTAAACTTAACATGATATCAGAGCAATTAGGTCTAATCTCCTATTAATCATCTTCTTTTTTATTTTTCCTTCTTTTCTTTTTATTTCTTTTTTTATTTGTTCCTCTGTCTCATCAGCGTCTCTGTGACGCCTACGTATACTGGTTCTAACAGTGTCTTGGATGGGTTTGCACTGAAATTGTGCATTCCCTAGGTTGTTGTTTCATGTTACAATCAATGGTGTAAGTGATTTTTGATAGTCAGAGTGGTTGTACTGTGGTGATGGTACTGATTAGTAAAAGTGGTAGTCGGAATTGGTGTCTTTCCATCGTCGGAGATGTTCATCGTCATTGTGGTGTGCTGGGAGAGTGATATGTATTGTTGGCAGAGTGGATGTTGTTGTCGTTGGTTGTTGCCTGAGTGATTGTGGTCATCGTTGGTTGCTACTGGAGTGATTGTGGTCATCGTTGTTTGTTGTCAAAGGCCGTTGTGATGGCTGTTATCGCTGTTTTTTGGTCGTGGCACTATGGGAGGCAAGGGCTTTGTTTGGAACCCTCACATGGAAGAAGATGACACTATTGTGGGCCGAATCGGATCGTTCATGGTTGGGGGTTTAAATTAAGAATTTTTGGAAGCCAGTACACCTAATTAGACTTTTTTGGTAAAAAGTACATATTAAAAAATGTTTTGGAAAAAGGTACCCTAGTTAGATACAAAGACATAAATACCCATTTTAGAAAAAGTGGTGCATTAAATATCTCCTAGTTTTATGAGAAAACTTTAATATTTAATGCACATTGATTCATGTGTATTTATTAATATATATATATATATATATATGTATATATATATATATATATACTTGTATATATATATACATACAAGTATAAATATAAATATATATACGTATATTGTATTTATATACAAGTATGTATATACGTGTAAAATATAATATTGAAAGTGAAAAGTGTAACATTGAAAGTGTAAAGTGTAAAGTATTACCTTATGTCTCATCTTACTTAATGGAAAGTGTAAAATGTTACATGTTAACATTAAAAGTGTAACATTTTCACACTTTCTCAATTAATTAGCATTTTTAGTGTAAGATGAGACATGTATATTCTGTTTGTGTAACACTTTAGGTAATGTCTCCCCTTACCTTGTATAAATAGTTTGTTATATTGTTATTGCTACACTGTTATTATTACTTTCAATATTATCCTATAACACTTTACACTTTCCATTAAGAAAAGTGAGATATAAGATAATACTTTACACTTTACACTTTCAATGTTACACTTCACACGTGTGTGTATATATATATATATATATATTAACAAATACACATGAATCAAAGTGCATTAAATACTAAAGTTCTCCCATAAAACTAGGAGATATTTAATGCACCAATTTCCAAAGAACATACACATGGATCAATAGAGGACAAAAATGTTACAAAAAAATTAGGCAAATTCAAATTGTGTACTTAAATACAAATAAGTATCAAAATTAAGGACTTAATAACCCTATATTTTTTAGTGAGTACTTTTTGCCAAATAAGTCTAATTTGGTGTACTCCCTTACAATTTATCCTTTAAATTAAGTCTAAAGCCCAGCACCCCAAGTTCGACCCAAGTCCAAGCCCAAGTCCAGTCTGCAGCCCAACCCAACACTGCATTAGTCTAGCCGATTTAGTCTAGTTTAGGCCGGTTTAGTCTGGTTGCTGGTTCAGCACGGTTCAGTTCTGGTTCCGCCTATTGTAGACCTATTTAGCACAGTTCAGCACAGATTCAACCTATCTTAGGCCGGTTCAAGCCAATTTTACATGGTTCGGCTCTTGTTTAGGCACAACTAAACTTGGTTCATCACAGTTCAGGCACGATTACACCTGATTCAGTCTGATCTAGGCTTGATCCAGCCGGTTCACCTCCAATTCAGCACTATCCCGCCCTCCCTCAGCCGGTTCAGCCTAACTTAGGCCGGTTTAGGTTTGTTTCGCATGGTTTGGTTCATGTTCAGCATGTTTTGGATTTGTTTTACTATGGTTAAGTGACTTTGGGCTAGTTTTGAGACTTGTTTGGGTTCAAATCACACTTGGGTGGCTAGTTGTGGGATTCTGTATCTCTCTTGAACTACATTCTTTTTGTCATATGACTATGGAACCCAAGAATGATTATCTGTATACCGTTACTTCTCCTTTGCCACCAAGTTTGTCTCCTATTATTCTCACTAACAGTCCAATGAATATTGTTAAGCTCAATTGAACCAACTATATTTTGTGATCAAGATCAGTTCAATAATTTATTAAAGGTAAAGGCTTTAAAAAATATTTAGTGGATCCTAAACCTAAGGAAGACACTCTTGGGTATGATCAATGGGAATAAATAGATGCTCAGATTATTTCATTATCGTTGAATAGTATTGAGGCGAGTATTAGTTTCACTTTACTTTATCTTGACATGGCCAAAGAAATTCGGGATCACTTAACCATTATGTATTCGGGCACATGTAATTTTACTTGTGCATATGAGGTCTGTCAACAACATTTTCATTTAGACCAAGGAAATTTGAGTCTTACAAATTATTATTCTCATGTTAAGAGAGTTTGTGAGGAATTGAAGCTCTACCACCCATTCAACACTGATGCAGCAGTGTGGCAGAAACAACATGAGAATATGAATATTGTTCGTTTTGAAACTTGAATGAGTATATTCGCTCTCAGATTTTGAGTAGTTCCAGCCAACCATCTTTAATTGAGGTTTTCTCCCGCTTACAACGTGCTATATTGTCTATTGGCCCTTCTGGTATTGATCACAGCTTACCTCCTGACAGCTTAGGTCTCGTTCCCACTATCCATAGTGATAGCTCTCGAGGTGGCCGTGGTAATCGTGGGGGACGGGGCAGCCGCACTGGACGTCGTGGTGGTCGACATGGTTCTCATCTGTGCACTCATTAGGGTCGTGGATGTCACATTGTTGATTATTATTAAAATTTGCATGGCAAACCTTCAAGCACTGCTAATCAAGTCTCCTATCAGGATGACACTTCCTCCCTACCACTGTCAGCTCCACCTCACTTTGGGTCTATTTATCTTACACGCAAATAATATGCTCAATTCCTGTCTCAATAGGAGGTTATTGTATCCTCCTCCACTGCCACTTTTGCTAGGGGTGCAACTTGAGCGGGCTAACTCGATTTCAACCCGAGCCCAACCCGAAAAAGATAGGGCTTGGGTTAGGGTTTTTAATACTTGAGTTGGGCTTGAGTCACAAAACTCCAACCCAAATTCAATTTGGGTGGGCCTCGGGTTGACCCCTCAGATTACTGGGTTGAACCCGAATATTCATAACCATATAAATATATTTTTAAGTCTAGGGTTAATCTATTCTAAAGTCTTCATTGTGCGCCTCCCTCACTCACTATTTAAGCAATGAACTTTATATTTGTACAAGAATTCTAGTTGTGTTTATTTGTGTTCTGTATAGTTGTGGTTACATTATCTCAAACATTGAGTTCTTAATATTATGGTTTTTATGTTAAAAACTTGATTGAAGTTGTTAGTTGTTAATTTAGGTGAATATTATGTAATATATGTATCAGGTTTAGAACAACAAATCTATTTTGGGCTCAACCCGAATTCAACCCCAGTTCACCTGAATTAAACTCAGGCAGTGCTCGGGTTGAGTCCCTCAACCTAAAGTAGGGTTAGGGTTAGGGTTAGGGTCGAAGATTATATACCTAGAGTTGGACTAGGGTTGACCGTCCAACCCGCCCGAGTTGCACCCCTAATTTTTGCCCATTTAGGTACCGCTTTCACTTGTTTATTGTCCTCCACTCGCAGTCCTTAGATCATAGACTCTGACACCTCTAACCACATAATTGGTTCGTTTGATGTCTTTTCTACT